CGGTGCCTCATTGCTGTGGGAGGGGTGAGTGTGATGAAGGGGCATCTTTTTCCAAACTAGACTGATAACAGGCAGAGTGAAAGTTTTCTGTCCCTTCTACAAAGAACTTCTTGAAAAACAAAAAAAGTAACATTATTAAGATGAACTGCACAGCTGGCTTGGAGACCAGTTGGTGGAATTATCATGCTGGAAAGATGCTGTTGTCGGGAAAGAGAAGACATCAAGTGTATTCAAATCCAACTGCCTTCTTTTTAGTCTTAAATTCAGTGGGAATGGGGCTGCCAACAGCAAAACAGCCAACAGTTGGCACTTGCAAACCAAGACTATTTTGTTCCGTTATTTTTTAAAGGAAGCATAGCACAAAATCCAATCCATACAAATTATTTATACATAATTACATTTTTTTAATTCAAGGACATTATTTTAGTATTGATTTCTCACAGGAGAAGATCGACGCGGCTTTTGCTCCTTTTTCCAAAACTACTTTCAGTTCAGTATTCCCAAAGCTTAAACTGGAGCTACTCTCTAGGCAAAATATCACCACATTGACATAAAAAGGTCTACATCAGCCTGGGGGTTTGTGGAGATGTGAAGGATTGAAGCCATGGTAGAGTGTGGTGGATTTCCTGCATGTACTGTACATGTTTGGTGCAGTACAGGGTTGCCAGAGGAGTGTGATGAAGAATAAGCCAAAGATGTGGGTAATTCTCAGGAGGCAGGCAAATGGGGGCACTGAGTGATGGGAGTTGTACGAAGCCTCAGTCGCTGGAAGAAGCCAAGGTTACACAGTGAAGCACAGTCAGGCTGTGTTAACGGGAGTGTGAGCAGGGATAAGCTGCGAATAATGCAGATGAGCCAAACGGCCATTCCCATGCATCGGCCCCTTACTTCTCGGCAGCGCAATACGGAGCATCAGCAAAATGGTTTTAGACTGAGTGAATGTAGCTGCACAAATCCTTCAGGCTTAATCTGCTAATACTATGCTTGCATTTATCACATTGGGAAATCGAGAGCTGGATTTAAATATTACAGACGCTCCTCAGGTTACGATAGTTCATGTTATGATATTTCGACTTTACAATCAGTATTCCAATTCAATTCTGTTTTTCACTTTCAATAAATCATTTAATAAATGATGTGATATTCAGCACTTTATTATAAAATAGGTTTTGTGTTAATGATTTTACCCCAAGTGTAAACTAATGTAAGTGTTCAAAGCATGTTTAAGGTAGGCTAGGCTAAGCTATGATGTTTGTCAGGTCAGGTGTACTGTACTAAAATTACTTTTCGCACTATGACGTTTTGCCTTATTATAGGTTTATCGGAACATAACCCCTGTCTGTATATCCCTCTATGATGCACCTTTTAAAAGAAAACAGGGGAACAAAATAATCTGCAGAGCTTAAGGCAAAGAAAGACTACCAACCAATGCACAGTCTATAATAGAAGGAAGCCATGTTTGCTGTAGAACTGCTTTTTGAAGTGCTAGACAGCATAATCTCTCACTGGCCTTCACCTAGTCCTTCTATTTAGACCACCATATATTCTTCATTGTCATATATCAAAATTATAACCTAAATCTATATATTTATTATCTGTTATGTCCTGATTGTCAGGTCGTCCTGTCTCCTCCCTAATGTGGCCCTGATGAGCCTGATGCTTCTGTTTAGTTCCATAAACCCCTTTTGTCCACCAAATGCTGGCCTTAGTGTCCTTCATCTCACACACTGTGACATTAATCTTTGTGGCACAGTGACTCTTGCATCACACCTCGCATGTTTTCTGGAATTTGCATGTTCTCCGCTTGTTGCATTATAAACATCCAGGCATGTTGTTTTTAGTAAAACAAGATTAGGATAATATTTTAGGCAAGAAGTTATGGCAATTATAATACTTTTTTTGGGAAATGCTTAAATATCTTGCCTATGGTTGAGTGTGCATGTTAGCCAAACACAACAAAGTAAGCTGGGCTTATGTTATATAAATCTATTGGTTTGCTGCCTGGAAGTGAAAACAACAGTGCAGGCCTTCCAAAACTTAGAAAGACCCGACAACTGATAAGGGAACTACTTTGGCCCAAACAGAACAATGTTTCCACAAATTGGCACAAGTTTGACTGGCCCCTGTACCTTTGAAGCATTACACCCAATACATTTTAGCTGAAGTATAAATTTATGAATGCCCAGTACTGCACCATATTGTGTGGCCTGAAGTAATTTATATTTCATTTAAATTATATTAAAATTAAGTGTGCATACAGAATAATATCTTAATTTATTGTTGTTTATTTTGATTGTAAAGAGTAAAGTAGTAAAAGAGACATCACAGCAATGTGGGGGAGGGGTGGGGGGGTGAATTCCCCTCAGTGGTATTAAGTGGTCTTTTTCTTTGAAAATGGTCTAGAGATGTTAATCGAAATTAGGACTGCATGAGGTACCATACGCCTGTGTGATAATCACATCATATTTGTCAGCACTGCTTTTTGTCTGTAAACACGATTCATGCCAACACTACCAACATATTTAACTTATTGGTAGATAATAAGTTATATTTGCTTATAGTTTATTTGGGGTAATTTCATCTCCTTTTGATTTATTAATATTGCAATGTTACTCGCAGAAATTTCACATATCACAATGTGATGCAGGCTTCAGACAGTTAATTTTACAAGTTTGAAAATTACACTACACAGGATTAAAGAAACAGCTAAAAACAATGGAAGCCATGTCAGATTGCTACATACACTTGCACAAGATGTCAGATGTGTCATGTGATTACTAAACCATCCATCCATCTCTCCCAGCTGCTTATTCAGTACAGGGTTATAGTGAGTCTGGAGCCTGTGCCAGGAAACATAAGGCACTGGACAGGGAATAATATCCTGGATAGGATATGTAAAGCAATGCTTAAAATTTAATCAAAACCATTTAATGGAGTCCGCATTGTACCCTTTGAAGAGATCCACTTTTTCAGTTACTGCAACATGCTTTTTAGTCCAGGGGCTAATCAAACACCTGAGAAACATCATTGTTAAATGAGGCCATGACTTTGTTTCTTCAGGGTACACATCTGCTGCCCACTTAACACAATCACTTTCCTTAAAGCATGTGTGCCAGTCAGTGGCACTCTACGTGGCTAAGCCCTTGGAAGCAAAAGATCCCCAGCACTGCTTCAGAAACTAACAATTGCAGACTGTGCTAAGCAGGCTAAGGGCCTGTCCAATAGCAGGCCGCGGGGAGTCTCCAGGCTACTGCATTACTTAGCAGCGTTGTGCTGGGGGAGGCCATAGTGCACAATGCCGAAATCCCCCAGGGGACAGAGGCAGCACTACCAGTAGTAAGGTGGAGCCCAGCTGAGAGTTATTGAACTTGCTGTCCATTGAACACGGTGACAACAGTGTGGTCAGAGGCAGGGGGGATTAAGCAGGCTGGGAAGAAAATGGAGGCATGTAAATTATGGAAGATAGGATAAAGCTCTCTTTTTACTGGTAATGACTGGTTTTGTGCCTCACACACATACACAGTCATTACATATGAAATATATCCTAATGCAAGTGTTCATTTATTAAATATTATTCTCTCCCAACATCATATTGAAGCAAAGTCCCTGGTTCATTGGCACTTACAATAAAAAAAATATAATAATAATTCTATTTTTTTGCCTCGGTTCTACTAGGACTTCAACACAAAGCATATACATTGACCACCTATTCACAAACATGTATTAATACAGTTTTAAGATGGTTTCCTGTGCCTGTTCTAGTCCATAAATTGTAATTTATTAACCATACAGCCTGAGGTCAATAAATAGTGAGTGATTTATGACTTTGCAGAACCTTAAAACGTGTTGTGCGTACTTTTTAAAATAATAAATGAATGAATGACATAATTAGACAAAAATTTAAAAATTAGATTTGATAACATTATTAGCAGGAAAGATGTATATGTCAGCATTAAACTGGACAAATTGCTGAGGTTGAACATTTTATCATATATCTCTAAATAAAGCTAGTGGGAGCTTGTTGCTATGATTTATACTTCATTGCCACCCATCTCGAAAATCCATAAGGTTTATTTGTAAAATATACTAGTCATTTGGCATTGCAAAGTACAGCTATGCTGATAGCTTAACTAATCAATCCCCATGGAAAATATACTTTTCTTATTTGATTGTATTGTTTATGCAAATAAAAATATTTTGAGAAGCCTAAAGAACACAATAATACAAGTAGAAATCTGGTAGGTTACAAACAATATTGGCATGTAATCTTGTGCAAGTTATATTAAAGTGAGGGCTACCATTAAGGCTAAAGCTGTGATTAGGGTAAAGATGATGGTTATCAATAGGGCTGGGCCAATGTTAACAGTTAGCCTCAGGGTTACATTAGGGTTTTAGGCCATGGCTAGGAACAGGTTTACCACTAGATTTTCCATAAGGGTCATAGTTAGGGTGGGCAGTAGGGTTAGTGTAAAATTTTGTAATGGATCTGAACATTTTATAATGAACAAGCAAGAACATTTTAAAAACATTTTTGAAATTGCGTGATCTTGGAGAAGGATCTTATGTTGTTTCCACTCTGTGATATAAATACTTGGGGTAATTTTGCCATCTTGTGGAGAAATTCTGTTAGTACAGTTAGAATACAGCTTTTTACTAGTAAGGTATGATCAAAGACATGCATAGAATATTAAATAATAATCATCGTAGTAAGATTATGTAATAATAACAAAACAAGGCTTAGGGTTAGATTTGGTTACTATTAAGATTAAGCTACAGTTGCTTTTATGGTAATAGTTAGGATTTTAAGTTTGTGGTTAGTGAAGGAGTAGGGTTAAGGTTAGAGTAACGGTAAAGGTAGAGTTTAGCGTGAAATTTAGAGAAAGGGACTCCAAATTCGTGGTCTCTGTAGAAACTATGGCCCATATTATGCATGGCTGTACCCTTCATAGCGGGGCTCCCACTGATTGACATCACAACCTCCGTCACTGCTGCTAATAATTGCGGCTTGAATATGCCAACAGGGCTCCCATTGTGGTTCGAATAAGCCTACAGGGCCAAACTAGGAAACTAGGGACTCAAAATATTGTGTGGCTAAAACAAGCTCACCAAATTAGGGTAAATGACTAGACCATAGCAAGGCGTGAAAGATTGGAAGCCCCACTCCGAGTGCTCTACAGTTTCCAAAAATCATCATTTGGTTAGGTTAGGGCAAACACAATGCTTAAACATGCATTATAAATGTTCAAGGTGCGCTGGCAACATTGTCCCTTTAATATAACTTTTTTCTTCTTTATTTTCCTAGGTTCCCTTTGGTGGGGATGCCCCTGTCCCGAAACAGAGATGGTGTTCATGAGTAATGTTAGCACCACAAAGTAGCAATGGCGCTGTAATAAGTCTATAATAAACTGATCTATGTTTTATTGTAGGTTCCCCCGACGAGGATGGCGATAACGACAGAGATCTTCCATGGTAAAAAGTGGCACCCTCTAGAGGGCTATCCTATTTTCCTGGGTAAGTAACCTTACTGTCACTGAATCTACTTATTAACTCACTTTTTGTTTACCGTTTCCCCTCCACCAAACGCGGGAATGGCTTGGGACACCATAAATGGCTATGACGCCCCCCGGTGGCAATAGAAAATCCTGAATACTCTGTTTAAATTATTTTCAGGTTTTTATTTTAGGTACCCACAACGGAGACGGTGAAGGTGAAGACCCTGGACGGTGACAGTGGCGTTCTCTAGTGGCCCTTCTCCCATATCCTGGGTAGGTAAGTACCACATTGTTGCAACTTTTTATATGCTTCTCATAATTCTAGGTATCTTCCCCCCAGGGAAGTAAATGATCCCCAGATGAATATTGGGAGCCTTGTTTAAGGCACCATGTAAGGGTAGCGAGGCAGACTTGTCATCTACAGCAAATATGCCAAACCAGACTTGTACAAAATAAAAGAATAAATTAAAAAATAAAAATAAATAAATTAATTAATCAATTGATGGAAACCTCATTGCATCTATAGATTAATATCTAAAATAAATACATACAGGACATCTCCCTTAAAGAAGATTATAATAGGTGGAGTTAAGAGGAAGGGGAGATTTTTAAGGGTTATGGAAGAAAAATAGGAAACTGCAGGTAGAAGCTCAGGGTTAGGTTTATAGGTTGTGGTTAAAACCACAAATCCTGCGACCCTAGCATCCCAGGGCCACAGTTATGCACGGGCCAATCTGGGCCTATCCGTGCATCCACCCGCTTACACACCCACCGTCACGACTTTAATTGGGGCTTTTTGTTTCCAGGGGGCGATTAGATGATGAAGGACCGAGGAGAATCCCAGATACCAGGACAGCCCGGAGGAACAGCAGGAGGAGCGACAAAGCCAACAGGTAGGTATTTGCCCTTGAACTTGACTTTAACTTGCCTTTTCTCTCTTACTTAGGTTTCCAAGCGTTGGATCCCCTACAAGGCTACAAGAATATGGCACCCCACTGTGGCATCGCACCACCTCTGTTGTCCCCCAGAGGGAAGTCTCTCGTAATGCCTAAGACCTCCGCCAAGGTCAATCTACTCCATCCTGTATGAATTTATAAAAAATAAACTTTATTTTGCCAACACTGTGTCCCACTTCCTTCCTCTATGGAGGCTTAATGGAAATGAGGGTAGCACAGTGGGTAATTAAGATATATATATATATGGGGCAAATTAATTAGTTATATTTTTTATGTTATTTAGTAACACCTATGGTTAAAAAACCTTAAGGGTTACTATCAGGGGCATGATAAGATTAGGGACCCGACTGAAATTAATCTTAGGGTTATGGATAGGCTAAGGTTATGGTTAGGTTATAGGGCTAAAACCGAGGATGCCTGCCTGGGCATTCCTTTTTTGGGGCATGGCTGAGGGCGTGGCCGCCACCTTACGCGTGTGAAGGAAGCCACTATTTCATTCCCTTTCCGAGATAATAAAAAAAAAACCTCATAACGTTTTTCCTATATGGGCACATTTTGATTTGAGGTATATCACTTGACTGTAGTCATTGAGACAGATCTAAGTAACTTTGCTGTAAGTCTCTATGACATTGAGGCTGAGATTCTCCCACTTCCTGTTTGGATGCTAACAATGCTAACATGATAACTTTTGAGATAACAGCAGAACGTGTAGATCAAAAGTTTCAGCCAGATATGAGCATGCTAAGATGTGCTAGATGCTGACCTGCTATCAGGCTAACTTTTGCGATAGCAAGTTCTGGTGCAGTTGTGCATCTAGGGGGCGCAGAACACGTAGATCGAAAGTTTCAGCCTAGCTGATTTTCCACAAGTCAGAGTCCCGTCAACACGTGTTGCTGCATCTCTGATTTTCAACCTTAATTCTGTTTTTTTTCTGAGGCACCGTCGGCTCCAGAGACTTGAAATTTGGAATACGCATCTCCCAGGCAGTGCCGGATCAGAATCTGCAAGTGCCCGGTCTCCAAGTCGCTGCGTTCTCCAAGTGGCCACCGGGTGGCGCCAGAGCGATTAGCAGTTAGGTCTTCTGGCCTGCCATCTGGTGGCGACTGGCATGCGTGCCTACAAATGACTGGCGGTTAGTTGCGTAGTGAGCTTTTGGCTGTGGTTGTCAGTTTTTTTGTTTTAGTTGTGTGTAGCTAGACCTCTATGTAAGTAGGGTATCGCAAGAGGGGGGTGCAATGGGCGTGGCTGCACCCCCCCTGGCCCCGCCCCCCGGCCGGTGCAGGGGGCGTGGCTGGGCGTGGCCTGGCGCATAGGCGCTGTGCGTGCGAAGGAAGGCCGTATCTCGCTCCGTTTGTGAAATATTGCAAAAAAACGTCATAACTTTATTTCCATGTAGGCGGGCTTTGATTTGATTGGTGCAGGTGGCCTCTACTGGTGGAGAGGGATCTGAGGAACTTTGTTGCGAGTGTCTACGACGTTCCCAGGCGGAGACACGCCCACTTCCGGTTTGGATGCTAACAATGCTAACATGCTAACTTTTATGTAAACAGCAGATTGCGTGTCTAGGATGTGCAGAACGTGTAGATTCAAAGTTTTGGCCGGATCTGAGCATGCTAACACATGCTAAATGCTAACATGCTAACACGCTTTTTATGGCTAGGGCTGAGGGTAAGTGGTTTTAGGATAATGACTGTCCCTTACTGCGAATGCCCTGGTCAGCACCAACTCCAGCCTGGCCCTGCCCAGCTGAAATTTGGCAGGCATCAAGTAGATGCATGTATGAGGAAGTATGCAAAGTTTCATGAGCGCACTCCTACAGAACTTGTCTGGTGCAATTTTAAATGTCCAGTTTAAGGGAGCTAAAGGCCTCAAAACGGACGTGGGGGTCCGTCACGGCGGAACCCTAAGAGCCAGGGGTCTGAAATTTGGCATGCATCAACTAGATGCAGGTATGAGATAGTTTCATGCTTAGGTTCATGCTTGTAAGTCATTCCAGTTAAAAGTTATGAGCATTTGACAAGGCCTAGCTCCTTTTCCCGAAATCAGAGTCCCCAGCAACACATGTGCTGCTGCATCTCTGATTCTCAACTTTAATTCTCAGTTTAATTTCTGAGGCACCGTCGACTCCAGAGACTTGGAATTTGGTACACGCGTCTCCCAGGCAGTGCCGGTTCAGAATCTGCAAGTGCCCGGTCTCCAAGTCGCTGCGTTCTCCAAGTGGCCACCGGGTGGCGCTAGAGCGATTAGCGGTTAGGTGCTCTGGCCTGCCTGGTGGCGACTGGCATGCGTGCCTACAAATGACTGGCAAATAGTTGCGTAGTGAGCTTTTGGCTGTGGTTGTCAGTATTTTGTTTTAGTTGTGTATATGTAGCCCCTCCCCGGCTGACGTCACCTCTATTTGGAGAAAATGAGCAGACAGAGACGTGGCTATTGCGTTCAGGTTGACCACAGTTTTATTCTGTGGTTTCCGCCTCTGCACATACATTTCTCCATAGCCTGGCGTCCCCTAATGGAAGGGAGCAAACTGCCTCCAATATCATTAGTGGTTAATTAAACGTATTGAAACAAAACTTGTGGGTTCCCCTTTTTTTTATTTTTTAAAAGAAAACTTATTTAAGTGGTCTTCCTTTTAATTTTAATAACTTTATGAACAATTAAATCTTTTACCAATTATATCTTATATATTTATTTATTTTTAATATTTTAAGAAATTATTTTTCTGTTATCAGCCTTAACCCTTTACATATGGTTTGATAGTTATGCAAAGGCTGCCAAGATTTGCTAATGTCAAGTTATGGATTTGATAGTTACGCTAAGCCTAGCCAGATTTGCTAGGTCTAATTATGGATTTGATAGTTATACTAAGCCTAGCCAGATTTGCTAATGTCAAATTATTGATTTGATAGTTATGCTAAGCCTAGCCAGATTTGCTAGGTCCAATTACTGATTTAAGGGTTTTGGTTAGAGTATGTGGTCAGGGGAGAGGGTCTAATGGTTATGGTTAGGGACCTACCCAGAATTTCTAAGTAAAATTCCAGAATGCCGTTAACTGTTTGGAGTGACCCATTGGGGGGGCCATTTCAGGGGGCATTCCTTCCCTCTTTGGAATAATTACCTTATAACTTCAGATGTAAAAGTCACAGACACATGCCTGATACCTAAAATCAAAGCTGACCCCTTTACAATCGATTGTTGGAAGCTCAATAACCAAAATGAATAACTGTGTATAATTTATGGACATTCAAATATAACAAAAACAGCTGGAAAAATACAAAAATCTGTCTTTGTGTCTTGGATTTTTGCAAATATTTTAAAGACGTACATGATGGATTAGGTCCAATTTTCAATATGTGGTTCCATAACTTGTTTTCTACATGTGTGCCCAATTTCATGTCATTTGATGTAGCCGAACAGGTTTTACAGAGGAAAGAACAAATGGTGCAACTGGGAGCCTTTCATATCCAAAACCTATCTGAAACCAATCCAAAATGGCCACAGTGTAACAAGCAGTGTTTTTTGGGATAGCATCTTTCTTTCTAAATGCATTACCACTTATGGGTCATAAGAAACATTTTGTCACACAACATCACCACACATCTGGAGGAAAATCTATATTTTATTCACACGACAAATATATCCAAAACCTATCCAAGACCTATCCAAAACCTACCCAAACTGGCCACAGTGTAACTAGCAGTGTTTTTTGGGATAGCATCTTTCTTTCTAAATGCACTACCACTTACGGGTCATAAGAAACATTTTGTTTCTAACCCTAACCTTAACTCTGCATAACTTTGCCCAAACAAAGCGTGACAAGTGCCCCGCATAACTTTGCCCAAACAAAGCCCGACAAATGCCCCGCATAACTTTGCCCAAAAAAACCATACAAGTACCGTACATAACTTTGCCCAAACAAAGCCAACAAGTACCGTACATAACTTTGCCTAAACAAAGCCGACAAGTGCCCCGCATAACTTTGCTCAAACAAAGCCGACAAGTACCGTACATAACTTTGCCTAAACAAAGCCGACAAGTGCCCCGCATAACTTTGCTCAAACAAAGCCCCGCATAACTTTGTCCAAGTAAAAGCCAAAAGCGCTGCGCATTACTTTGCACAGGCAAAGTTTGACAAAGGTGATGCAGAACTTTTCCCTATGTACCATAATACAATTGTTATCAAAGCAGATGTTAATTATAATTTGCTGAATCATGGAATTATAAAAATCTATAGAATAAAAGAGTAAACTGTAAATAAATGTACTTACATGTCGAGGGTTGCATACTCTGCGTACTCGAGACACTCCCACAAAAACTGCACCAGCAGAGAATAATTTGCGCATTTATGTCCCCAGCGCAAAAAACAATGCCCAATCAGCACATCCCATACCATTTTGCAAACCTTAGACGCACCTCTATTGGATGAAGCAGATGACACTGAAAGTTGATGTTCATACAAAAAGTTTATTATGGTGAAACATAACCATGGGCAAAGGTTCAGTGCATAAAAAATGGTATGCTAGCAGGGAATCAGAGCATGTATCTAAAAAAATACTTGACAATGAAAAATGACAGTGATTGAATTATGTACATAAGAGATCAAGCTTTCAAACAACGGTAACTTTGTCATTCTATTCAATGGTTTTCTTATAAAATTCCAAAGATGGAAAACATAGCACGAATGTAAACAATGCCGACTGACATTTTTCTGCGAAGAGTGAGCAAGCTATTTGAGAGCATTGACATCATATTTATGGAAAAATGTGTCTTTTGTCTTAATACTGTGACAGTTTATGAATTATTGGTCGTGAAAGAAATAGTTCAAAGTGCTTAGTTTTCATTTTATTAACACTTATATTTCACTTCCGGACACTCGACCCATTTAAAGATGGTTGCCATGGTCATTTTGTTTTAACTTGTTACAAAATAACCATGGCGCAAAAATTGTGCAACTTTGTACATTATAATAAAGGTTTCTTGTAGTGTAACAAGCCGTTTTTGGTTGATTTTATACATTTGTTTCTTTTATTGAACGTCATTTTTCTTTGTTATT